AACAACCCTGTAGGTACTACTGTTGATACCCTCTTTTTCACAGATGAGGAAACCCAGGCAAAGTGAGGGTGAGTTATGTGCCCCGGATCACACAGGTAGTAAGTGGCAGAGCAGGGATTCAGACCTGAGCCGTCTGGCTCTAACCACCACCCAGCCCTGCCTCCTGTGTAATAAAGACCGCAGTCCCCCTGCCCTGGGTAGTGCTGAAGGTCTCGAGGTGCGTGTTTATGATGTCAGCCCTTGGCCTTGCCTTCTCATCAATGAATTGCTTTTGAGCTCATTTTGGTGCCAGACTTTACGCCGGGTTCTGGCCTAAGCATGGGGTACAGCAAGCAGAAGTCACATTTCATGACAAACAGGTTCATCAGAAGTCAGTGAACTACAAGTTTGACGAGCACTTCCAGGGAGAAATCCTGGGAAATCTTGGGGTGCTGTATAGGGTCTGACCTACTGTAGAGTACCAGGGAAGACACTTCAACCAACCTCTTTTATTTTTTTAATTTTGTTTTTACTTTCGATTGTTTTAATTGGTGCGTTATGGCTGGTGGGATTTGTGATGGCACATTCGTACATGCACACAATACGACTCGCCCAATATTCCCCTTGGCACTTTGCCCTCCTTCCCCTCCTCCCACCCGCTGGTCCCTTTTCTGTATGCTACTGATCTCCCTTTGCTTTTTATGCAATAACCGCCCACCTTCCTTTTCCTTTTTCCTCTCTAGTTTCCACATATGAGAGGAAATATATGACCCTTGACCTTCTGAGTTTGGCTTATTTTGCTTAACATAATGGTCTCAAGTCCCATCCATGTTCCAGCAAATGACATAATTTCAATTTTCTTTGTGGCTGAATAAAACTCCATTGTGTATATAGACCACATTTTCTTTATCCATTCATCTATCGGTGGATACCTAGCCTGGTTCCATAGTTCGGCTGTTGTGAATTGTGCTGCTATAAACATGGGTATTCGCATATTGCTATAGCATGCTGATTTTAATTCTTTAGTGTAATATTGAGGAGCAGAATAGCTGGGTCGTATGGTGGTTCCATGCCTAGTGTTCTGAGGAGCTTCCATACTGATTTCCATGGTGGTTATACCAACAGACAATCCCACCAACAGTGTAAAAGTGATCCTTTCTCCACATCCTCTCCAGCATTTATTATTATTTGTATTGTTGATGACTGCCATTCTGGCTGGTATGAGATGAGATTTCAGTGTAGTTTTGATTTGCATTTCCCTAATTGCTAATGATATTGAACATTTTTTCATATATTTGTTGACCATTTGTGTGTCTTCTTTGGAGAAGTATCTGTTTAATTCAGTAGCCCATTTTTTTAGGCTGGGTTATTTGGTTATTTGGTGTTGGTTTTTGAGTTCTTTATATATTCTTGATATTACACCTCTGTCAGAAGAGTAGCTAGCAAAGATTTTTCTCCCACTCTAAAGGTTCTCTCATCACACTCCTACTTGTTTCCTTTGCCATACAGAACCTTTTCAATCTGACGCCATCCATTTATTAACTCTTGGCATTATTTCCTGAGCTCCGGAGGCCCTACTGAGAAAGCTGATGCCAGTGCCTATATGCTGGAGTGTTGACCACCCTATGTTTTCTTCTAGGAGTTGCATAGTTTCTGGCCTAATTCCAAGGTTTTTGATCCATTTTGAGTTGATTTGCATACAAGGCTTAAGATAGGGATCCAGTTTCATTCTTGAACATATGGATAAACAGTTTTCCCAGTACCATTTGTTAAAGAGGCTGCTTTTTCTCCAGTGTATGTAGATGTGTGGGTTTGTCTCTGTCCTCTATTCTGTACCATTGGTCTGTGTGTCTGTTTTTATGCCCTTACCATGCACTTTTTATTGCTGTAGCTCACTAGTAGTAATTTGAAGTCATAGTGTGATGCCTCCAGCATTGTTTCTTTGGCTTCGAATTGCTTTGGCTATTCTGGGTCTTTTATCCTTCCAAATGAATTTTAGGACTGTTTTTCCTAGTTCTGTGAAGAATGTCGTAGGTGTTTTGATGGGGACTGCATTGAATCTGTATGTGGCTTTGGATAATATGGCCATTTTAACAATACTAATTCTGCCTATCCATGAACATGGGAGGTCTTTCCATCTTCTTGTATCTTCAATTTTTTTTCTTTAATTTTCTGTGATTTTCATTGTAGAAGTCTTTCATCTCTTTGATTAGATTTATGACTAGTTTTTTTTTTTTTTTTTGAGGCTATTATAAATGGGGTTGCTTTCCTGATTTCTTTCTTACATTGAAACCAACCTCTTGGTGAGGGATGAGCAGCAATGAGTCAGATGAAGGGAGAGTGTGGGGCAGGCAGAGAGCCATATTGCAGAGGGGACACATATGTAAGGTCCTGGAGCCAGGAATGGTCTCTGTGATTATAGAGATAATGGGTCAGCCATGGAGGACATACAGAGTTATATTTGGAGCTAGAAACTTGATCCTGAATGCAGGGAGAGCCATCAGCATTTCAAGAATGGGAGTAACATTGTGAGATGTTCATCTTTTTAAAGACCACTCTGACTACAGGAAGGGAATAGAGGGACAAGAGAGAGCCACAGGAGACCAGTAAGAGAGGCCCTTGTCATTGTCAAGGTAGAAGGTGGCAGGACAGGAGTGTGCATGTGGCTGGGATGAGATAGTCACAGTGGAGATGGAGGAAAACAGGCAGATTTTAAAGACATTTTGGAGGAGTTGCACTGGATTTGAGAGGTAACAGTGTGAGTCCCAGGTTTGTGGTTTTATTAACAGATGGAGGAGAGTGTCATTTTGGGGGACAGAAGGACACAGGTTCAGGTAGGAGAAGGGGCACCCTGGCCATCAGAGGGAATGTGGAGTGGTGTTGAGATGCCCACCTGTGGAGCTCCAATGAGTGACCGAGGCTGGAGGTGTACACATGGCTGCTGAATGGGACTTGGAGCTGAGACCCGTTGAGGTCCACCTGGGGAGAGAGTGTAGGGCAGGAAGAGAGGAGAGCTCAGGCCTGAGCCCATAAAATGCCAACAGGGGAACCTAGAAGAAGGTGGTGAAGCAAGAAGGCAGGCAGGTGGCCTCTTGCCCCTGCACAGTCTGCCCAGCCGTGAGATAATCCCACGATAGCCCTGCAGAGGGGGCCAGTGAGCAAGAGCCTGGTGGGTTCTGGGTCCCGGGGTGGGTACCAGTGTGGCAAGGGCCTTGCCCTCTCGGAGCTGGTTCCTGTGGCTCTGAAGGGCAGTCTAGGGCTCTTCCCCATGGGGTTGTGAGGGTTCCCGAGGAGAAAGCCCTGGACACTGACTGATCAGACGTGTTGGCGTCCTGTGCTCTCTGCTCTTCGCTTGGCTCTGCCCAAACCCACCGGTCCCCGCTCATGATGTCATCAATAATGACGTCACCACGCATGACGTCATCCAGGAAACAGTGGGGACTCACCTACCGCGAACCAGGCATGGCGTCCGACTCCAGTAACCTCACCAGGGGAGCACACATACTTGATGCATCTAACCACACAAGACGTTAGAAATGTTATTTCTTATATGCGGTTGCAGTTTTTCCTTCTCTGAATATATAGGTTCACCCTCACCTTCACCAGTACCTTTGGTGTCCTTCATTGGTTCCAGAATATTCTCATGCCTCTTCATCTATTCCTCTGGGTCATTCTCTCATTCTCTTCCCTCCATAATGTCAGTTGAACGGATGACCATACCCACCTGTCATGTCTGCATGTGATCTCTGTAACATGCGTGTCTTCTTGGTCCCTCCATGCTGAATTCTGGACAGTTCCGGGATCAGTCTTCCAACTCAGACATCCCTTTTCTGCTAGGTCTAAGCATAGAAAAATATATTTTTTTTAAAAAATGGAAAAGGGAAAATAAATCCCCAGACCAACTAGGACACCCAAACTCACCAAGGGCATCATAAGACAGGACAATGGAGGCCAATTTTACTTGTGAACCAGATGCAACAGTCCTAAACAAATTGTCAGCCAACAAAATCTAAAATGCATAGAAAGAATACTGCTTCCTGACCTAAGAAGAATAAAGGCAAAAAAGTAATTTAAATTAACTGAATTTAAAAATGAGGATCACTTGAGCCTTTCAGTAGAGGCAGAGGGAAAGAATTTGATAAAATTAAAAATGCACAATAAAAAAAAAAAAACTCAGCTAGACTGGGCACGGTGGCACATGTCCATGATCCCAGTGACCCAGGAGGCTGAGGCAAGAGGATGGCAAGTCAGAGGCCAGCCTGGGCAACTTAGCAAGACCTCGTCTCAAAGTTAAAAAACAGAAGTGGGGGCTCATCGTACTTTTCAGTAAAATATTGAGACCATAACAATAAGGGGGAAGCAAACATGTCCACGCTCAGCCTTTCTGTTCACCACTGTCCTGGGGGTCCCTGGTCAGCTCAGTAAGGCCAGAAAAATACACAAATAAGGACTGGAAAGAAGGTGGCCAGCATTGCCCCTAGCCTCCACCTTTGTTCTTCTGAGGAACATTTGTCCCATTTGCCAAGACAGGGACACGTGAGAGAGGCCGGGGTTGGGCTGGCTGTTGGGGACATGTAAGAGAAAAGCATCCAGCCGCCTGGAAAGCCCACCGGGCAGGGCTTGGGCGCTTCAGCTTCATTCCCAGCTCTTCTGCTGACTTGGATGGTCCATTTTCCTTCTTAGCCTGGGGTCCCAGTCTGTAAAATGGGTGACTGTGGAAAGGTGGATCTTGAGTGGGCTGTGGTGGCTGGTTCTGAGGGGCAAACAGAGGGAAGCAGGTGACAGGAGCCAGTCTTGTTCTCCAGGAGAGCAGGCTTTTGTGTGTGGAGCCTCTGGTGGGAGGGAGCATCTGCTTGGGAATGGAGCAGGAGTCTTTCCAAGTCAGGGGGCCACCCAGACCCTCTGCCTTGCAGAGGAGTCATCCCTTCTCTTTGCCAAAGGGTTGTTATTATGGTGGTGTTGAGTGTGTTCTGCAGTTTTAAGACACTGACCCCCACCAACGTGCCCTTTTGATGTTTTAGACCTATAACAGCCAGAGTGAGAGCAACGAAGACTATGAGATCCCTCCGATAACACCTCCCAACCTCCCTGAGCCATCTCTCCTGCACCTGGGGGACCACGAAGCCAGCTACCACTCGCTGTGCCACGGGCTTACACCCAACGGTCTTCTCCCTGCCTACTCCTACCAGGCCATGGACCTCCCGGCTATCATGGTGTCCAATATGCTGGCCCAGGACGGCCATCTGCTCTCAGGCCAGCTGCCCACGGTGAGTCCTACCTCCTGCCGTGCTTCCTTCACTCATGGCAGGGACGCCGGTTGAGAGAAGCAGAATATCCAGCTGTGATGAGAGTCCTGCTCCCTGCCAGGGTATGGGTGCAGTTGGTCGTCTATGGGAGTCTGCAGAAGCCGGGCGGCACCGAGGGAAACTTACCCATCACTCGGCTCATTTCTGGGCTCTATTTATAACACCTTGGGATTTGTTTTATTATTCGTTAATAGTATAATCTCATTTAAAAATTTTTTAACAGCCTTTATTGAAGTACAATTCACATACCATATCATCTACCCATTTAAAGTGTACAAGTCAGTAGCTCTTCCTGTGTATACGGTCATAGAACTATCTAGACAATCAATCTTAGGACAGTTTCATCACCCTCCAAAAGAAAGCTGTACCTTTAGACAACCCCCAGTCCTTGAGAACCACTGATTACTTTCTATTTCAATAGATTTGCACAGTTTGGACATTTTATATAAGTGGAATCAGGTTTTGGTGTTTTTTTTTTAATTGTATCTTGCTTTAAGCAGCCAGGAAAGAGGGTGATTACCAAAGTAAAGTTCATATTCGAAAAGTCTTAGCAGGAAGGGGTCTTCCAGGCTGGAGGAATAGCACGCACCAAAGAAGATGACTAGGTGCGTGTGCTGTGCTGGAGCAGCCTGTGGCTCCTTCTCTTCATCAGGGTGGAGAGCAAGGCCTGAAGTCGAGGAGGGAAAGAGGAGGGGAAGGGCTGAGCAGAGCCTGGGTCTCCATGGCCCTGGATTCTGAGCTAAGGAGGATGTGCTTTCCTGGCATGAATGCTGACTTCACCCATCAAGGTGGATAGAATATCACTAGATCTTTTTTTTTTTTTTTTTTTTTTGGTCCAATAGAAAAGTCTCCATAAGGGAATTCTAGGACTTTTCCTGAACAACTTATTTGAGTCTGTTTTTGCTTTTCCCCCCATTTCACAGCTAACAGTATTTTTTTTTAATCAGAACTCTTGTATATTCATTTTTAAGCACCAGGAACCAAATTCATACTAAGCAAAAAAAAAAAAAAAAAAGCCTGAAATACCCAAGGGTGGACAAAGGGTTTCAGGCATGGCTCAATCCAGGAACTCCAGCTGTGTCCTTAGGGCCCCGTCACATGCCTACGTCCACACAGCAGGACTGATGGCTTCCAGCACACTCCTCATGTCTCGGGAAGGCCCCTGTCTCCCAGGGACCACCATGACTGAGCGACGCTGACCTGCCACTGTGTCCTAGGAGGCTTTTGTCAGCTTGGGTCACGCACACCCCAGTGGCAGGAGGAGGGGCTGCTTGCTTGACTTTCCCATCAGAGCCCCGCAGTGTCGGGTGGGATGGGTTCACCTCTGTAGTGGCTGCTCAGAAGCCACAGCCCAGTTTGTGGCTCAGTGGGGCAGACACCTAGGACCTCTAGACACCGCTCGTTCGCTGACCATCTGAACCCTCTTTCATTTCTTAATTGTTGACTCTTTTATTGCCAACAAATTCCTCTGCTTGAAAACCCCGGTGGGGACTCTGTGTTTAAGCCACTCACGGTTTGGTTTGGTTTTGTTCGTGACGCCAGGTGAGAAATAAAAGGAGAAGGGGGGAGCCCCCTCAAGACCCCTAAAGAGCTCAGTGAAAACTGATGCTCTGCTTCTCAGGGGACACTTTCCTTTGGGGGCTTCCAGTAATGCAGGTCCTCGGCTGCTGCTTCTAAGAGACCTACCCATTCTGATGGCTTCCATGGTCCACGACCTTAATTCCACCTCAGCCGCAGGTGGACACCTCAGCTGCTGTCCAGCTGACTTACCCACAAGACCCTCACTCCTCCAGGATTTATGGTCACACAAACAAGGACAGAACCAGGTGGACACCTTTGTCATGAGAGCTGCAGTGCGGGGGTGGGGACGGCTGCAGTCCTGGGCCACAGGTTGCCGGCTCATGTGCTGGTGGCTAAGGGAGACGGCGTGGGGTGTGGTTAGTGCGTGGACAGAAGATCAATCCTGGCTGCACCTCTGGGCCTCCGTTCCCTTGTCTTGGAATGATCACAGCCCTGCCCCCAGGTCCTACTGAAGCCCATCTGAGATAATGTACGCAAAGTCTTAGTAATATGTCTGGCGGAGAGTGAATAATCAGGGAGCATTTGCTATTGTTATTATTAGTAATAAAAACAAGCTCCTGCTGTAGTGGAATGGCCCCAGCCCTCTTTAATCTCCTTTACCCAAAGGAACAGGTTGCAGAAACTCCCAGGTGCACTTGTGGGACCCCAGGTAATAGAAGCTCAGATAATTACAAAGCATGTCATCTATTTATCAAAGATAACCCCTCGTGGCTCCTTCGAGAAATGCTTGTGTTGGGCTCCATCCAAACAGGCACTTTGTAGTCATTTCCAGATTTCTCTATAACGAGTTCATGTTTCGGATGCTTCTTCCATTCAGATGGCCTTAATTCTTCCATTAGCCTGACTTTGCAAGGGTTCGCTGGATTTTATATTCGCTCCTTATGTAATGAAAGATAAGCCGACCCTATTACCGGGAGAGGCCTGCACCAACTGGGAAGCCAGATAAGAACATGGGTCTGAACGCTGGGTCTGTCTGGCCAAGAGGCGAGAGGCCCCTAATGACAGACTGTTAAACTCGTGGGAACTGCAGGGTGAAGGGGAAGTCCCTGGGTGTCACGCATGCTGCCCGGGTGATGTGGGATTTGTGTTAGCACCTGCTGGGTGTCAAGAGCCAGTGGAGGCCTGCTCCACTGAGAGGGGGGAGCCGGGAGGGCTCAGCCCAGGGGACGGAGGCTCTGAGGAAGCAGGGGAGTGTGTTTTCTGCAGCTGCTCAAATGACTGCAAATCCACAGGCTCCCAAATCAGGACCCTGGGCTGCAATTAAGTACCAGGAGGGCCACACTTCCTCCAGAGGCTCTGGGGAGAATCTGTCCTCGCCTCTTGTAACTCCTGGCTTGCAGCCAGGTCTCTCCGGTCCCAGCCTCCACCCCACACTGCCTTCTTTTCTGTCAGTGGATGCCCTTCTGCCCCTCTTCTAAGAACACTTGTGATGACATTTAGGGCTAGGCCAAGATCATCTTTCCATCTCAAGATCCTTGACTTAGTCACCTTTGCAAAGACCCTTTTTTTCCAATACAGTGACATTTATGGATTCCCAGGATTAGGGCCTGATATCTTGGTGTAAGTGGAACTTTTTTTTAACCTAATACAGGCTCCTTTATTGAGCGCCTACTAGGTTGGTACCAGCCATTGCTCCATATTGAGCACCTACAAGGTACTAGCCAGTGCTCTGGGCTCAGGAGCTATTATAAGACGTCAGAGGAACTCTGTGTAGATGGAGCGAAGGCTACCCTATGGTTTGAGTATGGATGGTGGCCCCAGGCAGTATCCAGCTTGGTCCCCAAGATGGCATATTAGGAGGTGCTATGGGCTTTTAAGAGAAGGGACCTAGTGGGAGTCCTTACATTCTTGGGGGTGTGCCCTCCAAAGGGATTGTGGGACCCTGGTCTCTTCCTCTCTTTCTCTGTTTCCTGGCTCAAGATGTAACCACTGCTCTTGTGCCCCCTCCCACTGCGAGAGGCTGCCCTTGCCAGAGGCCTAAACCGATGTGGCCCCTCCATCTTGGATTTGAGCCTCCAGAACTGTGAACTAAAATAAATCTCTCTTTTCTTCGTAAGTCACCTGTGTCTGGTATTTTGTTATAGTGATGCAAAGCTGACTAATACACCCTGTTTCTAAAAAATGAAGCAATGTTGTACTAGGGTCAGGGTACGGTGCTCTGGGTGCTGACTCAGATGTGGGGTTATCGCTTCCTAACTGGAGGCTCTGCCTTTTGCAGGGCAGAAACATGATCAAAGGAGTACAAGTATTCTAATGAGTTCAAGGATACAAAGTCTAATCCTTGTCTCTAATGCCTCATCTGTACAATGGGAACACTCAGTACCACAAGTACTAGTAGGCTCTGGGAGTGCTTAGCATAGTCAAGGGTCAGCAGGTACCCCTTAGAAACTGTCATTATCACTCCATACAGGAGGTGACGCCTGACACAGAATGGGTTCTGTAAGTACTTTATGAGTGATTTAATGCCATCGGGTTCTTAAACAGCAAAACCTGAATTCCAGCCCAGCTGGGTCCCCTCCTGGCCACCTTCCAATTTCACCAGGTGTCCGAGGGATGGTACAATCCTGCTGCAGGTGGCTCAGAGGACACCCTGATGCTAAGGTGTGCCAGGTGTTATGACACAGGGTGCCATGTGCCAGAGATGTTGTCCCTTCACGGGGGGACAAGGCCAGTCATCTCATAAATGCCAGGAACCCCTTGGCTCAGACCCCAGAGGCCACCCCTTCCTTCCGGTCCCCTGCCCGGCTGGCTCGGCCCCACTGGCCCATGTGACGTCGGCCACATGGGCCGACTTTAAAGGTCTGGCTGCCAGCAGGAATCACGGGCAGTATTGGAATCGGGTCCCTCTACAGAATTAAATATGCTCAAGGCTTCTCCCTCGACTTCGGCGTCTTAACTGATTAAACATTCATTTCCAAGACAAAAAGAGTCAATTTAGTATGAAAGATATATTTTGCCGGTTTAATTTAAAGCGCGGCACCTCCATCTGACCCCTATTTTCATAACTCAATAATTTTATCCTGTGTTGATTGTCTCATTTTGAGAGAGATATTGTATGTATAAATCAGTTTCTAAAATACCCAAAGAAACTCGAAGAGTGGAATTTATTAAGCGGCTTCTGTTAAGTCTGAAATCATTTATTTGGGAGTCGCCCTTGGGAAACGTCGGCGCTGACGGGCCTGGTTTCCCCCGGGAGGGTTATCCTGGGAAGGGATGGAGCCTGATGCTCTCAGACGAGTTCCCCGGGAGCTTGGACCTTCCCTGAAGCCAGAGAAGCTCCTGGAAGGGGCTGGGGCGCGTAGAGGCCGGAGCCAAGGGGCAATGGGTTCCTGAAAAGCTCAGGTCCCACTTGCCGTGGATCCTGCTGGCCCAGGATTCTG